CTGGAAAAACAAACCTCTACTCAAAACTTGTAAGAATTCTATCTGAAACAATTCAGAGTCTAGAAAATAATACATCTGGCAGAGGGACTGCAGAGAGAGCTCAGTGTGATTTTCTTTCTCAAGCTGGCAAGCCATGTACTTGAAAAGATGCTGGATTATAACAACGTGGAAAGGAAAGATACTAGAGTAAAAAAAAATTCCTGGGTCATTTCAGGAAAAAAAGTAGTGAGTTTCATTTTCTGATGTTTGTACTTTTCACATCTTGTCAACAACTCTGGTTGTGTTGCCAGACCCCCAGCATCCCAGAAATCACCTTGTAATTATAGGCTTTCATTTTCATTTTGTCCCATAATCACTTGTGATTTCTTTTCTTTATCATCAATAGAAGCTAAATGGTTTTATATTTTTCCTGGGCAGAATATTCCCTAAGGGAAATATTCAAGAGCCTTTTTGGTTGCTCCATGGCATTTTCATTTTGTGTGTCCTTAACTGTATTTGATTTAGAGGAATTACGTATTAAAAATTGAGTACTTTCTAGGAGGGATGGTATTCAAAGATGGCAGTCTTTTTAAATAATTCAGGGAATTACAGATACATTTTGTTTGCATCCTATGAGGTCTTGATTGCTGAACTTTGGGCATACACCAAATACCAAGATAGGCCTGGGAGGTAAAATTTTGACATGAATTTGAGAGCATAAGAAAAAATAGAAAGTGATTTGTGAATCCTAGCAAGATGTTAGCAGTCAGACTGAATATAGAGGAAAGACTTTTAAAAAAAGGCAAATTAGTGTCTGTGCCCTGGATTATTTCATAGGAGGCTGAAAATGAAGTAGTCTATCTCTCCTGTCTCATTAAAAAAATGTTTTTTTATTTACTTAATATGTATCCCACACCCCCTTCATCTCTCCTGTCTACTGGCTCCTTCTTTCAGTCTACCATAAAGTGCAGGGTGCCTATTTTAAAACAGGGAATCTCCTCCCCACGTCTGTGCTTTCCTCTGCTAACCTTCCTCTCTCTGGTCTGTTTCAAAGAAAAGGTATACATTTCCACTGCTTCATACCCATTCACTTGCTTAAATTCTACTACATGTCCACTAAAGTATGGAGCCACATAGGGCTGTGAAGAAATATAAGATATTTCCTTCGCTGTGAGGTGATTTGCAGTCTGGTTGGAACACAAAACCCGAGTGAATCAAGTACAGGACCTTGAAGTGGGTCCCATATTATTAGGAATCAAAAATGGAGGGAGGGATATAGGAGCTGAATGGGTATCAGAAGTGCTGAGTTTAAAGGGCTAGCCTCTCTACAATACTGTTTTCCTTGTGTGGTCCTATGTTTTAAAGAATTGTATTGAGCACATTTCCCTTTTATGTATATGCTTTTATTTATTGTGCTTTCATTAGTAGTATTATCCTTAATCCTCCTTTTGCTTTTTCAAAGAAAATAAGTCTTTAACTATTACTAGATAATGTGAGTTGGTTAAAACTTCATAATATATATTCTTAGCCAGCCACATACTCACTGCACTACACCACAAATGTTCTCAGAACTCACAAATGAGTGACAGTAGCGTCGGCCCTTCACATTACAGAACCCTTATGAGTTTATGTGCATTAAATTTTAAAGCTAAATTTCTTACATTTTCCAGACTTAAAAAAAAAACAGTTTCTAATGTTTATGTACCCCAATGGATTGTGTCACCCACTCCAGTTTGAGAAACGTTCCCTTGAGACAGTATGATTTTGTCAGTGAATGTATTGTTGAGGATTAGTTTGACTATAGATAATGGGGACCTGAAAAATACTACCTTAAACAAGACAGTTATTTTTCATTCACATAAAAGAAGTATGGAAGTAGGCAGTCTTGGGCTGAGATGGTGGCTTCCAAAATATGTGGGATCTAGGTGCCTTCCATCCTTTATTCCTTCAACTCCAGAGTGTGGCACTCATATTCTAGGATGATTGTTTAGAAAGCAGCCGTGACTCCAGGTTTAAGCAGCAGGAAGGAGATGAAGAAGGGGCAGGGACTTTCAACTTCAAGGAAGATTTTCTGGAAGTCCCACAGAATACTGCTGATTACATCTCAGGGGCTAGAAGTTTGTACATAGTTGTATCTAGTGTAAGGGAAACTAAGAAATGTCTTATAACTGGGCAGCAAAGTGCACAATTAAAAATTGAAGTGCTGTTCCAAGAGGTAATGGTGAGAGTTTGGGTTGACCTCTAGGCTGTGGCAAGTGGAGGTAGGGAGTCTTCATGCTTTTTCTTTTTCTTTTTTTGGTAACAGCTTTTGTAAATATCCACACACATTACAATTCACCCATTAAAAAGTTTACAATTCAGTTGTATATAGAATATTCATCAAGTTATGCAACCATCTGAGAATCATTTTGGAAAAATTTCATCACCCTATGAAAAACTCACTATTCTTTTGGTAGTCATTCCCTATTCTTCCCTCCTCCAGCTCCCTTCCCCTGGCAGTCACCAGTCTACTATCTCTGCATTTGCCCGTTCTGGACATTTCATATAAATGGAATGACACATGTGTTTCTCTGTAACTAGCTTCTTTCACAAATTGTAATGTTTTCAGGGTTCATCCATGTTGTAGCATGTATTAGTATCCCCCCACTTTATTGTTGAATAATATTCCATTGTGTAGATAGATCACATTTTGTCCATTCATCAGTTGTTAGATATTTGGTTTGTTTCTACTTTTTGATGGTGATGAATAATGCTGCTGTGAACATTCATCTAAATTTTTGTGTGAACATGTTTTTCTCTTGGAGTTATGAGTAGAATTGCTGGGTCATAGATATAGTCAGATCTTTTGCCCGGTTTTAAATCAGATTGTCTATCTAGTTGTTATTTGTAGGAGTTCTTTACATATTGTGGGTCCACATCAACCTTGATTGCAGTGAGAGATCCTGAGTCAAACCACCAACCTAAGCTGCTTTTTTGTTATTCAGTTTTAGGAGTTCTTTATATATTCTGGATGTAGGTCCCATATCATTTTCTCCTATTCTGTGGATTATCTTCTCATTTTCTTGATGCTATCTCTTGAACCACAAAAGAACCACAAAAGCTTTAAAATTTTTTATGAGGTCCAATTTATCTTTCTTCTTTGGTTCTTGGTAATAGATGTATTTGTGAATACACTGTTCACAATACATTATGAGAAATTTATTTTTTAGCCAAAAGGTGGAAGCAACCCAGGTGTCTGTCTGCAGATAGATGGATAGATAAGATGTGGTATATATCAGTTCATACAATGGAATAGTATTCAATCTAAAAAGAAAGGAAGTTCTGATACATGCCACAAAGAGAGGAAACCTCTAAGACATGCTGAGTGCAATAAACCAATCACAAAATGATAAATACTGTATGATTCCACTCACATGAGGTAGTTAGAGCAGTTAAATTCATAAAGGTAGAAAGTGGAATGGTGGTTGCCAACAGTAGAAGTCGGGGAGATGGGGCATTAGTTGTTTAATGAATATAGAATTTCCGTTTTAGAAGGTGAAAAAAGTTCTGGAAATGGATGATTGTGATAATTGTACAACAGAGTTGAATATATGTAATGCCACTAAAGTATTTACTTACAAAGTGTTTAAATGGCAAGTTTTCTGTATATTTTACTGCATTTTAAAAAATATCTTGTAGTTTTAGCTCTTACATTTGGGTCTGTAATCCATCATGAGTTAATTTTGTATGTGATGTGAGGTAGCATTCTAACTTTGTTCTTTTGCATATTATCTGTTCAATTGTCTCAGTGCCATTTGTTGAAAAGGCTGTTTTTTTCTCCATTAGATTGTCTTGGCATCCTCTTTGAAAATTTACTTGACCCTAAATGGGAGGACTTATTTCTGGATTCTCAAATCTACTCTATTGATCTATGAAAGTGTTAGTCGCTCAGTTGTGTCTCTTTGGGATCCCATGGACTCCAGCCTGCCAGGCTCCTCCATCCATGGAATTCTCTAGGCAAGAATACTGGAGTGGGTAATCATTCCCTCCTCCAGAGAATCTTCCGTCCCAGGGATCGAACCTGGGTCTCCTGCATTGCAGGTGGTCTTTACTGTCTGAGCCACCAGGGAATTATTTATATCTTTATAACAGTGCAACACTGCCTTGATTAGTGTACCTTTATAGTAAGTTTTGACATCAGGAAATGTGAGTCCTTTAACTTTGCTCTTCATTTTCAAGATTGCTTTTGCTATTCTGAGTCCATTGAATTTCCATGTGCATTTTCTGATCAGTTGTCAGTTTCTGCAAAGAAGCTGGCTGAGATTTTGATAGGGATTGAGTTGAGTCTGTAGATTAATTTGGAGGATATTGCCATTTAACAGAATTGGCCTTTAGTCCTTAAACATGAATGTCTTCCCATTTATTTAGATCTTTTATTTCTCTATATTTTTTAAGTTTTCAGAGTATGTTTCATGCTTTTTTGTTACACTTATTCACATTTTATTCTTTTTGATGCTGTTGTAAGTGAAATTGCTTTCTTAATTTCAGTTTCAGTTTGTTCATTACTAGGGTATAGAAGTACAATTGATTTTATATGTTAATCTTGTATCCTTGCTGAATTTGTTAGTTCTAATAGCTTTTTACTGGATTTCATTTGGGTTTTTAAGTGAATTTCCCACAAAAAAGGTTATGTCATCTGCAAAGTAAAATAATTTTACTTCTTCTTTTCCAGTCTGGATGTCTTTTATGTTGTCTTCTGCCTAATTGCCAGAACCTCCTTAGAAGTGGCAAGAGTGGACTTTCTTGTTTTGTTCCTGTTCTTAAGGGAAAACTTTCAATATTTTCACCGTCAAGTATAATGTTAGTTATGGGGTTTTGGTATGACTTTTTGATACCACATGGAAAGGTGTTACTAGCATTTTATCTTATATTTTTAGTGTGCTAATAGAGGCTTGTGCCCCATGGGCAGAAAGTGTGTGCTATAGATTACAGCTATTATGGATTCTTGTGCATTTAGACAACATTTTTGTCTTGTTTCAGCAATGGCTGCCATCCGGAAGAAACTGGTGATTGTTGGAGATGGAGCCTGTGGCAAGACTTGCTTGCTCATTGTCTTTAGCAAGGACCAGTTCCCAGAGGTGTATGTCCCTACGGTGTTTGAGAACTATGTGGCAGATATTGAAGTGGATGGAAAGCAGGTGAGTATACACTTCAGAACAACTGCTACTGTTTTTTACGTTAGGCTATTCATAGAGCCTTGAGAGAATTAGGCCTTTATGTCTCTTCAGTACATAATATAACAATAACAAAAAGTTAAAATGAGAAATCTGTTCTCTTCTCGCCTTTTCAGTTCAGTTCAGTCGCTCTGTCGTGTCTGGCTATTTGCAACCCTGTGGACTGCAGCACGCCAGACTTCCCTGTCCATCACCAACTCCCGGAGTTTACTCAAACTCATTTCTGTTGTGTTGGTGATGCCATTCAACCATTTCATCCTCTGTCATCCCCTTCTGCCACCTTCAGTCTTTCCCAGCATCGGGGTGTTTTCAAATTAGTCCTTCACATCAGGTGGCCAAAGTATTGGAATTTCAGCTTCAGCATCAGTCTTCCCAATGAATATTCAGGACTGATCTCCTTTAGGATGGACAGGTTGGATCTCCTTGCAGTCCAAGGGACTCTCAAGAGTCTTCTTCAACACCACAGTTCAAAACATCAATTCTTTGGCGCTCAGCTTTCTTTATAGTCCAACTCTCACATCCATACATGACTACTGGAAAAACCATAGCTTTAACTAGACAGACCTTTGTTGGTTTTTAATATTCTGTCTAGGTTGGTCATAGCTTTTCTTCCAAGGAGCAAGTGTCTTTTAATTTTGTGGCTGTAGTTGCCATCTGCAGTGATTTTGGAGCCCCAAAAAGAAAGTCTCTCGTTCTTTCTATTGCTTCCCCATCTATTTGCCATGAAGTGATGGGACCAGATGCCATGATCTTAGTTTTCTGAATGTTGAGCTTTAAGCCTACTTTTTCACTCTCTTCTTTCACTTTCATCAAGAGGCTCTTTGGTTCTTTTTTTTGTTTTTGTTTTTTTGTTTTTTTAAAAGCTCTTTGGTTCTTTACTTTTCTGCCATAAGGTGGTGTCATCTGCATATCTGAGGTTATTGATATTTTCCCCGGCAACCTTGATTCCAACTTGTGCTTCTTCCAACCCAGCGTTTCTCATGATATACTCTGCATATAAGTTAAATAAGCAGGGTAACAGTATACAGCCTTGGCGTACTCCTTTCCCTATTTGGAACCGGTCTGTTGTTTCATGTCCAGTTCGAACTGTTGCTTCCTGACCTGCATGCAGATTTCTCAGCAGGCAGCTCGGGTGGTCTGATGGTCCCATTTCTTTAAGAATTTTCCACAGTTTCTTCTGATCCACACAGTCAAAGGCTTTGGCATAGTCAATAAAGCAGAAGTAGATGTTTTCCTGGAAGTCTCTTGCTTAGTTCAATTTTATTCATTTTAAATTATTATGATCTAGATTATGTCCACATTCATGTGTATTTCACATGGGGAACCCTTAGAATATTTGTTCTTTCCAGCTTTATATATATTTAAAATTTAGTTTGTTGCCAAATGGTTAATACTGAAATGAACCTTTGTATGGATCCACTTTTTTTTTCTGTCATGGTATTTCATTAAGTGCTGAAGCTTGAGATTACTAGGTCAATGTGTTCTTATTGATGGTGCTTCTCAAAGGTTGCACGGCTCTGTGCCACCAACAGTGTGACATTTAAGCATTCTCACATTTAGGTTCTTGGGGTTTTTTTTTTTTTTTTAATGTCTTTTGACTTTAACAGGCTGCTGCATTTGCTTCAGTTACTTATCACTGGTGGTGAGGACAGTGTTTCCTCCTGTCTGCCCTGAAAGCCCACCAGCAAGACTGGGGCAAAACCGCTGAAATTAGAATTGTCTCTCCCCCTTTTGCTGTCAAAATAATATCCAGATTTCTGTCCATCTTTTGAAGAGAAATGAAATTCTCATTGCAAATGGGTTAGCTGAAAAGAAAAGTAGAACAACGGGCTGTTTTCCAACACACTGGGTCCTCTTAGGCATTCAGTCACATGTCTCATGCTGCTAGCACCTAATTTATTGGCTTCCACAATTCTGTCTCCTTTCTTCCTTCTCCTATTCTTGCTTTCCTGCTGTCCCTTTCTGTCCCAGTACTACCTAACCTCATTTTGTGGGACTGTGTGTGGAAAGCACATTAGGCCAGCTGCTTCGAATTCTAGGATTCATTACAGGGTGCTTTGATACTTCTCTGACCATGAGTAAGCTGTCTAATCTTTGAGCCACTTTGATTTGTAAAGTGGTTTAAGCCATTTTACAGTTGATAGCAAGGGTCTATGAAGTGACTAAAGGTATTTGGAAGCACCAAAGCACTTGACAAATTGGACTGAACAAGAGCATACTCAGCACCCCCTATTATGGTTTACCCAGTAGCCATGTGGGCCACAGGGGATGCTCTCAGGCCATCAGGAATCCCGCGGCACCCTTCTGGTCACGAATGGATGAAGAAAGCCACAATGAATTTCTGCCCAAGAGAACTTTGGGTCTTATACCCTGCAGGTGGCCCATCAGGATAGTGTTGCCAATTCAACTTTCAGTCAGTCCTCTGAGTGGGTGCTTGGGTACAGGTTTCTGTGGGCTTCATAGGAAGATTGGTTTTATCTGACAAGCTGGGGAAAATTTGGGCCTGCTGTCACATACCAGACCTCTCACCCAATTTAGATAGACAGACACAAACACAGACACACACACACACAGAAAGACCCCAGTGGCTTTAAGGAAACAGGTTTAGGTTGGTGTTTTCATAGCACATTTCTCAAAAGCGTACTGCATGTATATTGCTGGGTTTATCTTGTCATTTAGAGAATGACAGCTGTTGGTTGCCACGTGTCTGCAATCATCAGTTGGAAAAGTCTTTTCCATCTGTGGCAGTATATGTTTAGGGGGTACTATTGGCTCTTCTGTCCTCTTGGAAGCATCATCTTTGCCTTGGGGTCTGGAAATGACCAGGATCTTCTTAACCTTAAGAAACATAGGGAAAAAAAAAAAAAGAAACATAGGGATTTTGACTTACAAACCTTGAGGAATGATCAGTGAATATCTTTCTTGCTCTACCTGACCCTGGTAAAATGAAAGCCCTTCAACCAGGGAGAGAAACTCTGAAAAAAGGGTACTTGATCTGGAAGAGGGTATCACATCCTAGCTACCTGCCTCAGAGCAAGTCAGTACCCCAGGGTGAGAGAGGGTGCCTCCTGAGAATGTTCTTTTAAGAGTAGGCACCCACAGAGCCCAAGAAACCATCCAGGATTCTAGGTGGTTATGGGCCAGGGAATAGGTCTGCCAAAAATGGAAAGGCCCTGATGTGAGACAGGCCTGGCACCCTGGAGTCATTTATCAGGAGACAGAGTTAGCTCTTCTGTCTGACTGAATGCTCATGAGGTGTGGTGGTGCCAGGGGAGTGGCATTTGTGAGAGAATGAGCTGTAGCATCCTGAGGTCAGACCAGTTGTGAGGCTTGGGCATCAATATGTTAGGGATTCCTGTACCAGGCTGATGGTAATGTGCGTGACAGAGGCACAGTGGGACTTGTGGAAGTTGTGAGTGACACATCCTGGGGCAGAGGTTGAAGGTGGAATAAACAACTAGCCATCAACTTTAAAGTAGGAATAATATTTAGATACTGAAATATGGGCTCTGAAGGTGTTAGGAGGAGAAGGCTACTCGAGGCATTGGAGGGAGAACTCCTTGGGCCCACAAGGGCTAAAAACCACTGTGATTGTAAGAAGTGACTGGGCTGACTACAGTGCCTGACAGGCATGGGGATGGTGGAGTCCTATCTAAGTCCAGGTGTCTGTTTGCCCTCCTCCCACTGGAAAGTGAACAGATTCCCAAGGTGAAAGGAGTAACCCCCTACCTGAATGATGCTTTCATTCAGACATTCAGACACTTTTTTGAGCAGTAAAAGCAGAGCCGTAGGCCTTTCCTGTCAGCTCAGACCTTGCCCAACACCCAGGGATGGTGTCTTTTCTTATCCATCAATTCAAATACAATCTTGTTTCCTCATTGGAGCAGAGTGATGAGATAAGGTAAGGAAATGGTTGAGTGAGACTGTATTAAGAAAAGTTACTTGTTGTGGTTTTCCCCTGTCTTGCCTTGTATACCTGGTGGGATGTTGTCTATGATTCATTCACTTTCTTTTCTCTGTAGAATGTTACTTGTGATTAAGTACTTACAAGCTACAAAATTACTTTTGACTAATAAAACTGACCATTTTTGTATTTTACTATGTGGACAGTCTATCATTTGAAAGTACAGTGGTTTCACTTCTTCTGAAAGTAAGTAGTGGGATTAACCTGCACTCTTATGTTCATTTTTCCTGTCATAGGTAGAGTTGGCTTTGTGGGACACAGCTGGGCAGGAAGATTATGATCGCTTGAGGCCTCTCTCCTACCCGGATACCGACGTTATACTGATGTGTTTCTCCATTGACAGCCCTGATAGTTTAGGTGAGTAGCCCTGTGGCCTAACATTTGTCGCTGCCTGTGTGGTGGTCAGTTTTTGGTTTCTCAGGTCTTTTCTGGACATCAAGTGGCTGAAAAGCAGACATGAGTTTCAGAGAAGGAAATCATAAGTGGCCAGAGTCCTAGAGTCTCAGGATTGTAGACCCTGAGCCCTGAATCCCTTTTCAGCTTTGGTGTCCCTTGACTGCCATGTTCACCTTGTAAAGTAGGTGGGTTCCAAACAGAAAGCTATTTTTTGCCCCCCTCTCTTTTTTTAAGGGGGACAGGGGTGGGGGGTGGGCTTGCAGCATGCTCTGACCAGGGCATTGAACCTGTGCCCTCAGCAGTGAAAGCACGGAGTCCTAACCACTGGACCTCCAGGGCATTCCCCAAAGCTATTTTCTGGACTGAGATTCGGGGAAGGCTTTTTTGGGTATCCACATCTTTTTTCAGTACTTGATATTGAGCCTGTCGCCTCCCAACGTCTAGACTGATGATTTGCTGATTCGTAGTGGTGTTTTTAAAGCCCTGTTTTAGCCCTTTTGTAAAGCCCCTTATCTAGTGGAGAGAGACTTGAACCTGACCATTACACTAGCTAAGTTGGTCACATGTTACAGAAGCTGCTTTTTCCTTCAAAGAAAAAAAAAATGTGTGAATGATGCTGATCTCTTATTCTGCAAAACAGAGCACCAGGGCCTGAAACAGAACTTGCTTTCGGTTTGTACTAAAGATGATAAAACTTCTTGCTTGGTGTTGTGGTGCTCTGTTTTAACAGGGCAGTGGATGGGGCAAAGATACTGTCATTATTAACACAAATGACAGTTGAGAGCTGGCTGCTGGCCTGGGCTGTTCCTGGGGAGTTAGGGTTGGAGTGACCCTTGTGTGTCCTGCTTGTACTCACATAAATGACAATACTAAGGGGTGCTCTGAGACTTAGAACCGTTTGCTTAGCGTCATGCAGCCCAGGAACCAAGTTGAGATGGAGCCACCTGTGTGATACTTCCCAGGACTGAGACTGTGGGTGCTGCCTGCCATTGTCTCACTTTGGTTCAACAGTTGTGTTTTAGTTTCAGTTTTCAAATTAATCTGGCTTCCTTTGGTGGGACTCGGAAGGCCCTTGAGGCTGAGCTTTAGAGAGAAAATGGACACCTTCCCTTCAAACACACACATGATGAACTTTGCCTAAATCCTGTAGGAATGAGGACTGCACCCTTTGCCACCTCATCCAGGGTGTAGTCCTTTAGGGACAAGAATACCTTCAGAGCAAAATTTTACTCTTACTCTGTCTTACTTTTTTCTTTGAACACTGTATCTCTTGGTCTCAAGGAAATCTTCAGCTTTTGACCTCTTGTCTATTTACTGTGACTTGGTTTTTTTGCTATCCCCTCACTCAGAGGGCAGGTTCTAGGCAGGAACACAGAGGTAGAAAGCAAAGAGAGATTGAGCTCCCTCTCTAGAGTACAGATACACCTGAGGGTGGGGTGGGGCTGATGCTGTGCCTTCACTGGTGGTCTTGGCAGGAGTATCATAGGTAGGTAGGGCCCCTTTGCTGACCTGAGTTACCTTAGTTTTGCCAAGGGCCTTTTAAAAGTTCTCTTATTTTGGCTTAGGGGGTAGCAGAGAATTCCACTGGTAGTTTGCCCCAGTAAAATGTGTCTTGGGAACTCAGAAGTTTATATCAAGAAAATGAAAAGTTATAGGGGCTTCCCTGGTGGCTCAGAGGTTAAAGCGTCTGCCTGCAGTGCAGGAGACCTGGGGTCGAGTCGGGAAGATCCCCTGGAGAAGGAAGTGGCAACCCAATCCAGTATGCTTGCCTGGAGAATCCCATGGAGGGAGGAGCCTGATAGGCTACAGTCCATGGGGCTGCAGAGTCGGACACGACTGAGCGACATCAGTTCACAATGTCAACCAAATGTTGGAATTTACTTTTTATGTATGGTTGGATATTAGACCATGGGCCAGAGTCTGGGTGTAGAATAACAAGTTTGATCAGCAATCAGAATGTTGGTGTGAAAAAAAAAAAATGTTGGTATGCAGGTTTCAGCCCTGTTGCTGGCCAATCCTGTGTAAAAGGCCAAATAGTAAATAGTTCAGGCTTGTTAGCCATGTGTTCTCTGTTGCATTTCCTGAATTTGCCATAACTACTCAGCTATACTGTTGTAGAATAAAAGCAGTCATAAAAAATAAATCCATGAATGAGCTTGGCTCTGTTCCAGTAAAACTTGACTTATAAAAGTAGACTATGGATCTAGATAAGAATTCCTTTTCTCTAGCTTAATGGAATTCACAAAGACATCCAAAGCACTCCACTGTAAATCTATATAAAGTGATGTGTCCTGATATGATCAGATTACTTTGAGGGTAGGAGCAATGATAGGTGATTGCCATTACTGAATTAAAAGGTAAAAAAACTAAAATTTAAAATTATTCATGAAAAGTGAACATAAGAGAGGCAATTCATTCTATTTTACATGTCCTGGATTCTGGAGGTGAGGAGACTATTAGAGTAATAATTTTGTATGTTTAGCAAATAATTATTGAGCACCTACTTATAGAACCTATGTTCTAGATGGAGACAGAAGGGCAAAAACCTAACTGATAGCAGGGAAGGTTACAAATAACATTCATGGTGGTGGATATGGAATAGGCTATGGTAGTATGGAGTGTCAGGAGATGACCACATGCTGCTGGTCAGGAGCCTCAGTGAAAAGGAGACCTCTGAGCAGAGGTGAGGGAGGCCAACAGAGACTTCCCAGGCAGAAGGAAGGAGTCCGGCGTGCTGTATGGAGAGCCAGGGTTGCGGAGCCATGTGGCTGATGGTGTGAACCCCTCCTTTGATCATGAGAGAGATGGGGACTCTTGATGGTTTGAACGCAGGAGAGATGTGATCTCACCTACTCTTTAAAAGTGCCCACTGTTGCAGCTTCACTGAAAACTGACCACAGGGTGCAGAGCCGAGAGCAAGATTGAGTGCTGAGGCTGCTGGGCTTCAGTGTCAGATATGTTGGCCCTTGTGTCTTTATTGTTCTGCAGTTCTTAAGGAACCCCTTTGTTCTAGAATAAGGCTTTAAGTTGTCACATTAGTGATTGGCTGTAGCTGCTATAGCAAAGGAGGAAAGTATCTGTCTTGTGGGCTGAGGAGTGGAGCGTTGAATTGAGTTTTCTGACCTTATTCATGTAATTTCTCTACCTTCTAGCCAGAGGCAGGGCATCTTTCCATATTTTAAGTCCTGCCTTTTGGTCTTGAAGTCAGAGAGTGAACAGTTTACACCTAAAACATAATGTCAGATTATGATTGGTACCATTTAAATGATCATCATACTAAGTATGGTGTACACATTGAATCAGAATAACCTCATGTGAGGTCTTACAGTTATCTCTATTTTATAATGTCATCCCTGACTCTGAGATGCTCAAGGTGGTGGGTGTGGGAGGTTGAACCCAGGACACCTTATCTAAATTACTACAGTATTGGCAAGAAGCTGCAACTGGTTATGATTCATTTTCAGAAGCCACTGAAGCCCTTTGAAATTACAGTAACCCAAGGGTAGGTCATCCTGAGGGCCCGTGAGTAAGGTGTAGATAAAGTGTGTGAACCCTGGGCTAGCTGTAGCCACGGAATGGGGACTCCTTCTGTAAGCTGTGGTCAGAATCACCCAACAGTGACGTGGATGGCCGGCTGGTGGGGCAGGGGGCACCATTGTGGAGCCACCCCTTCTGAATCCTTTGCTCCTCTGTAGCCTTCACCTGGCGCCACCTCCAGGGGAGCTGAGCTCCTTGGTATGATTGAGAAAAGCTGGTGATTCTGTGCTTAAGAGAAGGGGGATTAGATTTTGCCTTTTTCGTGGTTTTGAAACTAGTGAAATTCCATTATATGTCCAGCATGCTTCTGAAGTTTCTTTGCAATTTAACTAGGGCTTCTGGAGATTCTTCAAGGTAGAATTATATGTATCCCCAAATTATGTGCATTTTGCTTCTTTCAGAAAACATCCCAGAAAAATGGACTCCGGAAGTCAAGCATTTCTGTCCCAACGTGCCCATCATCCTGGTTGGGAACAAGAAGGATCTTCGAAATGATGAGCACACAAGGCGGGAGCTAGCCAAGATGAAGCAGGTACGGCCTGGGGCAGAGCTCTGTCTTCTGTAGCATTCGGGAACCCAGGACCCACGACTGGAGATTCAGGGAGCGAGGCAGAAACCCTCGTAGGCCAGGCTGTTTCTGAGAGACTCCCAGAAGCCTCTCTGTCCCCCTGGCCCTCATTGACTGGGGCCTGCACAGAGGGTCCCTAAGGCTCCCTCGCCTGTAAGATGGGACCTCTCTTGTGCAGGTTGCCTTCCTGAGAAGGGACCGCCCCAGCAGTAGTCAGTGTCAGATGCAGGAGCTTTGTCAGGCTCTCGGTCTCCCTGTCCAGTTACTACCTTTGTATATGTGAGGCTGGAGATAAATTGGTGGCAACTGAAGGATCAGGCAGCCTGGGAGTCCAAACAGAGAGCCCTAATGCCTTTTAAAAGTGATGGGGGGTGACACCTTGGCTTCTGAAGTCTTTTAGCAGAGTTTAAATACTCTATACCTACTTACTATATGTATATAACACGTTAACTAAAAGTACTGTCTTCTCTCTGCTAGGAGCCAGTAAAACCCGAAGAAGGCAGAGATATGGCAAACAGGATTGGTGCTTTTGGGTACATGGAGTGTTCAGCAAAGACCAAAGATGGAGTGAGGGAGGTTTTTGAAATGGCCACGAGAGCTGCTCTGCAAGCCAGACGTGGGAAGAAAAAATCTGGGTGCCTTGTCTTGTGAAACCCCTGCTGCAAGCACAGCCCTCATGCGGTTAATTTTGAAGTGCTGTTTATTAATCTTAGTGTATGATTACTGGCCTTTTTCATTTATCTATAATTTACCTAAGATTACAAATCAGAAGTCATCTTGCTACCAGTATTTAGAAGGCAACCATGATTATTAATGATGTCCAACCCACCTGACCCACCAGGGTCCTTCTGACACTGCTCTAACAGCCCTCCTCTGCACTCCCACCTGACACACCAGGCGCTAATTCAAGGGATTTCTTAACTTCTTGCTTCTTTCTAGAAAGAGAAACCGTTGGTAACTTTTGTGAATTAGGCTGTAACTACTTTATAACTAACATGTCCTGTCTGTCATCTGTCAGCTGCACGGTACTCTGGTGAGTCACCACTTCAGAGCTTTACTCCTTTTAACAGATTTCATTGGCATGGCTCTGGGTGGCTATCCAGTTTTTTGAATATGTGCTCAGCCAGAAAGGCCCAAGTCCACGCAGCTGTGGTAAAGTTACAGTTCTGTGGTTTCATGTTAGTTACCTTATAGTTACTGTGTAATTAGTGCCGCTTAATGTATGTTACCAAAAATAAATATATCTACCCCAGACTAGATGTAGTATTTTTTGTATAATTGGATTTCCTAATACTGATATTTGTCATCTTCACAGAAAGTGTATTGGTTTTTTTTTTTTTTTAAGAAAGTGTATTTGAAAATAAAGTCAGATGGAAAATTGATTTTTAAAATTCCCGTTTTGTCAGTTTCTCGGATAAAAGATGGCCATGTCCCCCCATTTCGGCCCCACATATTCCAGTACCCCCTTCCCCAGAGCTGGGCTAAGTAAATAGGAATTCAGTCTTCTGCCTGAGGCACTTGGACACTCAGAAGGTGGCATAACCTGTCTCACCCGGACTGCAGGGTCTGGCTCTAGTTCACAGTGCTGTTTCTTCTCACTGTACCCAGGTTCCCTCCCAGAGGAGCTGCCCGTTCTCTTGGGCGGCCCTCAGTTTCTCTCTCCTCTCCAGCTGACTAAACTTTTTTTCTGTACCAGTTAATTTTTCCAACTAATAGAATAAAGGCAGTTTTCTAAACTTCCTGTATCCTGGTGTTTGTGTTGCTCTCTCCAGGGCTGGGGATTGGGGGGTGGATTCTGCCTAGCTCACCTTTCCTTCAGGGGGCAAAGTACCAGCTGGCCCACCCACTCCCCAAAACCGGCACTCACCTGACTTCAGCCAAGGAGGTGGAAATGAGTGTTTTGTCACATTCAAGTTCAGAGTGGGGTGGAGTAGGGCATACAGCCTACCGAGGAGTAGGTATTCCAAGCAGTCATTCTCCCAGACAAATCTCGGGAGTGTGGTCTTTTCCTCTTCTTACTACCTGTCCATTCTCCGTGTCTTTTACTGGCAAGCCTGAGCTCCAGATGAAGTTGGCTAGGTATGAGGATGGTCTGAAACCCACTTGAGTCCCCTTGGCCCTGCATGCTTTTGGGCTCCCCTCCAGGAGTCTGGAGCAGGGCCTGAACAGTGACCCCAGAAACCCTGTGTAAAGGCAGTGCTGTGCCGGGGGTGTCAAGGTAGGTGGGAAACCGGAGGCTAGGATGAGAGCAATCCAGGGCAGCGCCAGAGTGCAAAGATAGGAGAAAGCTGGCTTTTGCAGTCCATCCCTGACTGCCTGCCTGCCTCCTTGGCAGCACTGCCCACCCTCCTCCAATTTAACCTTCAAAGCTCCCGGACTGCGTTGGCAGCTGCCGCCAACTTCACCATCCCCGCGCCTGCCAATAGGGTTCGTTCTCCAGGAGTAGTGATACAGCCCAGGCGGGGAGGGCTGTGCAGTCACAGCGCAAGCTCCTGTTGGTCACCCTCCCGGGGCCAGGTCCAATCCCTGAAGAACCATTAAGAAAGAATCCGGAGCCCGTCTGGGCCCTGGGCGGGAATCATTCGCTCAACTACCGCAGTGCGGGCGCTGCACTCCCTGGGCCGGACCGAAAGCGCCGGCGCCTCCGCACGGTCTGGGCGGTGTCCGCATCCGGCCCGACCGCACCCTCCCGCCCCGCGGGCCCGCTGCTGGAGGCCGGAGGCCGGATGAGGCGGGACCCAGGCGGGGAGGAGCCGCGGCCGGAAAAGTGCCTGCACCACGTGACCCCCGCTCGCCCGCCTTTTAAAAGCAGGCGCTTCCCGACCCCCGCCTTGTTCTTAAAGTCCGCGGCTCTCTATTCTCGACTCGGATACCCACACCATGTGCGCTGCTCAGCTCTCGGCGGCCGCCCTTGCGGCGGCGGCCCCGCGCACGGTGTACGCCTTCTCTGCGCGCCCTCTGGCCGGCGGGGAGCCCTTCCACCTGGCCTCCCTGCGAGGCAAGGTGCTGCTCATTGAGAACGTAGCATCGCTTTGAGGCACAACGGTGCGGGACTACACCCAGATGAATGACCTGCAGCGGCGCCTCGGACCCCGGGGACTGGTCGTGCTCGGCTTCCCGTGCAACCAGTTTGGGCATCAGGTGCGCCTAACCGCGCGGAGCGGGGGTGGGCGTGCGACCCGGGTTAGGAGCGCCCGCTAGTGCTCCGCCAGGCCCCAGGGCGCGGAGAGGCAGGCCTTCGGCTCGCAGCCCTCTGACGCATTTCCCGGCTGAGATTCAAATCCACCCTGGAGTTAGGCAAGAAAGGTCACAGTCCAATGACACATGGAAAACTCCAGGTTTGCGGTTAGAAGGATTCCTTTACCCCTCGCAGCCCTGGTTCCCAGCTGCTCTCCCCTCTCGCAGGAAAACGCCAAGAACGAGGAGATCCTGAATTGCCTGAAGTACGTCCGACCAGGCGGCGGGTTCGAGCCCAATTTCATGCTCTTCGAGAAGTGCGAGGTGAATGGCGAGAAGGCGCATCCGCTCTTCGCCTTCCTTCGGGAGGCTCTGCCTACGCCTAGTGACGACGCCACTGCTCTCATGACCGACCCTAAGTTCATCACCTGGTCCCCGGTGTGCCGCAACGACGTCTCCTGGAACTTCGAGAAGTTCCTGGTGGGCCCAGACGGTGTGCCCGTGCGCAGGTACAGCCGCCGCTTTCTGACGATCGACATCGAGCCTGACATCGAAACCCTGCTGTCCCAGGGGGCCTCTGCCTAGGGTGCCCCTCCTACCCTTGCTGCTTGGCGGTCAGCGCTGCTCTCCGGGGATTTTACCCATGAAGGTGTTCCCTCTAAACCTACGTGGAGGAATGCCTGATGTCCAGGAAAATCCCCTGAGTTGGGCACTGGTCCTGTCTCCCAGCTTCCCCTTTCCCAGACCACAGCTCCTCATGAATAAAGTGCCAAATATGAGCAGAACTCTGTGTGTGTGTCCTGTGTCATTGTCAGCATGGGACACCTTTCCTACTAACCTCATTGTCGTAGGGCTGGGAGCTTAAGCCCCCATTTCTTGGCTGGCCTTACCTAGCCAAGCATGAATACTCCAGCACTTTGTCTGCAGTGGAATTCACTCTTTCCTTTGTGGGAATCCAGGCTCCTCTCCCAGGGTTTCTCCCTCTGCCAGGACATGCAGCAGAGCCATCCCGAGGCCCTGTTACAAAAGAAAGTCTTTATTTAAAAAAGAGGAAGATGAGTCAAGGGCTGAAACTGCCTAACTCTCTCCTGGTAGTTATGCCTCTCCTTTCTGAGTATCTGTTCAGCTCAAAATGACCTAAACAAATAACACCCTGAGCTCCCATTCACATTTGTTTAGTTTGTGGCCTTGTAACTGCAGAGCCAGCCCAAACTGGCCCTCATCTGTTGATACCAAGATAGTGAGTTCTTCAGAGACAACAGAGCAAAACCACAAATGCAGCCAGAGCATGTGCACAGGAGAAAAATTTTGACCTCTTAATAATGCCTGGAATCAAGTTTCTCCACCTCCACCCCACCTCCCTGACATAGAATCAAAAGAATCTGGACATAACCATAACCTGAATGCTGGAACACTTTGAAAAGTGAAAGTTCCATTGTCCAGGAAGATCATACCTTAAATGGCCAAGTTCTAATGCCCTCCAATCAAAACCTGCCACATACTAACCCATCCTCCCCTAACTCAATAAAGGTTGATCAAACTCTAGATTCAGTTCAGTTCAGTCATGTCTGACTCTGCAACCCCATGGACTGCAGTACGCCAGGCTTCCCTGTCCATCACCAACTCCCAGAGTTTACTCAAACTCATGTCCATTTAGTCGGTGATGCCATCCAACCATCTCATCTTCTGTTGTCCCCTTCTCCCACCTTCAATCTTTCCAGCATCAGGGTCTTTTCAAATGAGTCAGTTCTTCACATCAGGTGGTCAAAGTATTGGAGTTTCAGCTTCAGCATCAGTCCTCCCAATGAATATTCAGGGCTGATTTCCTTTAGGATGGACAGGTTGGCTCTCCTTTCCAAGGGACTCTCAAGAGTCTTCTCCAACACCACAGTTCAAAAGCATCAATTCTTCAGCACTCAGCCTTCTTTATAGTCCAACTCTCACATCCATACATAACTATTGGAAAAACCATAGCCTTGACTAGACAGACCTTTGTTGGCAAATTAATGTCTCTACTTTTTAATATGCTATGTTGGTCATAACTTTTCTTCCAAGGAGCAAGCATCTTTTAATTTCATGGCTGCAGTCACCATTTGCAGTGATTTTGGATTAGGGACACGGATTTGACAGTCTTGCCTCCTGAGTCCTTACCCATCGACCTCCCAGTTAAGGTCAGCTCCCAGTAAAACTCTTCTCAACCTGGAGAAGGAAATGGTAACCCACTCCAGTATTTTTGCCTGGAAAAGTCCATGGACAGAGGAGCCTGGCAGGCTGCAGTCCATGGAGTTACATGACTGAGCATGTGTGCACGAGGGTGGAGGGAGATGGGTTGGTAGCAATAAACTGGTAGAACTAAAAAAGTTTAAAAAACTCTTCTTAAAAGTGGGTACCAGGGACTTTCCTACTGTTTCAGTGGCTAAGACTCCAAGCTCCCAACTTGGGGGCTGCTGTTCGATCTCTGGTCAGGGAACTAGAACCCACGTGCTGCAACTAAGGATCCCATGTGCCACAACTAAGATCCCAGTGCAGACAAAAATGTAGGTGCTGTAGTATTGGCTTCTATGCCCATCAGGCAGTGAGTCCTGTTTTTGGTAACAGCTTTTCCAGGTGTTAGGACCATATAAGTCTACTTTACACAGTTGGCAGCTCATGAGACATAACTTTCTTTCCTCAGGACACTGCTAGATCTTTGCATAAGTCCATACAGCACTTCTGTCTGCTCTGAAGCTGTGCTAACTGGTTGCTGCCGCTCAGGTAGTCAGCAGAGTACACGGTTGCTCTGACCCTGCCCAGCAGTTGCAATTTCGGGGCCAGGCTCAGGGCGGGACATATCTTGGAGGCCAGCTGCCACTTCCCAGGTGTGGCTCAGTTCCAGCCCCTCCATCTGTGGTCGCTGCTGTCAGTAATCTCTTGAGACAGACAGATCTGGAGCCACTTCCTATCACTGTACAAGGGACTCTGTAGGGCTGTACGCAATGAAGCTGCTTCTGTATTTTTTTCAATTTTTTTTTTTAAATACAGACCGCTTCTCAAATTTGTTATGTCATCCTTGTGCAGAGGTCATGCTAATCTCTTATCATTGCAACTGGAGTATATGTGCTCCCGAAGTAAGCACTGCAATGACGCTTCTGTTTGGACAGACAAGTACCCAGATACTTCGTTATCAGTCCAGAATGTGGTCCAGAGATTCTGGGGTCCCAGTATTCATGGTCACATTGGTGACTCAAGTCCCTGCTGTGTTGGAATCAACTCTGAAGAACTTCTCTTCCAACCCTAAGCAGAAATCTTTGCTGTTGTTCTCCCCCTCCGTCTGGCCTTAGGTCATTAAGGGCAGTATCTGTTCCCACTCCCTCTCCCTCCATCATCAACAGGCCTACCACCTCCCTCTGGCTGCAAGGCGTCTCCACCTCAGCTTTTTTTTTTTTTTACTTTTTGGCTGCTCCACACGGCATGTGGGATCTTAGTTGCCCGACCTGAGATGCAACCTGCGTTCCCGGCATTGGAAACACAGAGTCTTCACCACTAGACTGCTAGGGAAATCCCCTCCATCTCAGATTTTGTGTCCCCTCTGAGGTGACCAAAGGCCAAGTTCTATTGCCCATTTAGACCCCACCCTATCTGTGCCCCTCTTAGAACCAAGACTCATGACATCTGTGAGTGACTCGTCTCACCCCAGAGGGTGAGAGTCCGGGTGCCCAGTGACTCACCCCTCATCACCCACTTTTTTCTCTTCTTCTTCAGTTTATGCCTTGAGCTCTAAGAGAAAGGAACTTCCGAGATCCCCATGTGGCTGACGCTGGCTGGTGACTGCTCCTCCTCAGACTTGAAGTTGCCTGCCTCTTTTAACTGTCTTTTCCAACTCTCTTTTTTAGGAAGACTCAGTGTAAAGCCCCGTTAAGGGTTCATCTTCCTCCGCATAAACTAGAACTCTTCCCCAAAAACACACACACATTCTTCCTCCTTCAACCACCCTACTGCTACTGGCTGGGACCTGCACCCACTCCACCCCATTGTGAATCAGCAGCTCAAATTAACAAGTAAAAGTGAAGGAATCCCAGCGAGTCTGCCTGAGGTCCTGGCCTTTGGTAGTACTGCCTCCGGGACACTGCCTGATCTGGGAGCAGGCAGCAGAACTGAGTCCACAGGTCTTCTGAGAAGGGCTGGGCCCTGCTGTTACGCAACAGGTTCAGAAACCTCCATTTCAGAAGCTCTTCCAGAAAGGCTGGTTTAAACTTTTTCTAAACATTAAATCCGGTAAATCACATAGGTGTATATTACATCATTATGTACACACTAAATAGTTTGCAGATTTATTTGTCAACTATACCTCAACAAAGCTGAAAAAACAAAATCTGATACAACCCATTTGGTCAGGCCCTTCTTGCGCAATTAGCCCTTTATCAGATGACTTCCTTCTTCTGTCTCCATGGAGTTCCACGAACAACACTTAAGTTTATTTTCAGAGAGGCATTCCTGGCCCAATCAATCTTTTCTCGAATTTTTTTTTTTAGGGGGGCGGGGCGCACCCTGCAGCATGCAGGATCTTAGTTCCCAGATTAGGGATCCTACCTGTGTCCCTTGCATTGGAAGCACAGTGTCTTAACCACTGGACCACCAGGGAAGTCCCTCTCCTAAGTTTTGACTTTAGGGTAATACTGAGTGAAAAATACTGGCTAACGATTTCCCCGGGAGAAATAAATTCATCCATGGCATGGATTTATGAAGAATGGACAGGGATCCAGGTCAGAGCACTCCGAATTTGGCAGGTTTTTGTTACTATGGCCACCAAATGGGCTGGAAGAACGTGCTTTCAGAGGTGTGACAGGTGTGACACACCTGTGCTGGTACTAAAATAAAACCCAGCTGGAGCTGGTCAACAAGTTACTGGGCATCCGGAAGTGCCGGACTGGGAAGCGGGAGCTCAGATGAGAGGTTCTTACCCGAGGAGTGAGGGCTCATGGGCCCTGGCCCTGAGGGTAACAGGGAAGCCGACTTGAGATCAGACATCCTTAGCTTTGACCTACCCAAGAGCTCAACTCCAGACCTGTCGCGTGAAAAAGCAAAAACAAAATCACCAGCTAGGTGGGTCACTTGCTGGTGGGTATTCTGTAAGTTGCATCCAGAAGCATTGAAACTGACAGGACATAACAGTGATGTACTGGGCAGAGGTCCAGCAGCCTTGCCGTCATTCATCCTGCAGACAGACATCCTATTCCCAGCACCCCTCCCAGGCCTAGGGTAGCCGTGGCCAGCAAGGCCAAGACAGGAGACCCAAGAACAGGCTCACTTAATCCAACTGCCTAAGGTCAGGCAGTATCCACCTTGGATGCTGTCCTACAGTCCCGCGTATCTGTTACCCCAGCCTCTGTCCCCAGCTTGTGCCTGTGCCTGTGTACCTGTGCATGAATCTAAAGAAGCCCTGGTCTGCGACTTCCCTAGCGGTCTCTAGTGGTTAAGACTTGTTCCAACGCAGGCGGTGCAGGTTCAATCCATCACTGATCAGGGAATTAAGATCCCACATGCCCCAAGTTGTGGTTCAAAAAATAAATAAAACAGCCTATTCCTAAGCTCTCTAAAAATTTTTT